TCTCTCTTCTGATTGCAACACCAGTCTTCTCTTTACTATACAAATATGCTGTAATATGTCCATCTTAAAAATACCCTCTTTGACCCCCACAATCTCTCTCCAGCAGCTGGTCCATTTTTCTATTCTTATTTATAGAAAAACTCCTAAAAAGAGATGCCTGTGATAGCTGTCTTCAGGTTCTCAATCCCTCTAATCAGATGTTAACTAAGCATTCCACCAAGCTCACTCACGTCACCAAGCCCAATCGTCAATGCTTGGTCCCCATCTCCTAACTCTCAGCAGCATCAAGCACAGTTAATCATGTCCCTCATGAAACACTCTTTTCTTGGCTTCCAGGACACCACACTTTAAGATTTTACCTCCTGCTTCACAGGCTGGTCCTTTTCCATCTACTTCATAGAATCCTCCTTCTCTGCTAAAGAGAATGTGGTGGGGTGACCATATCTCAGGTCTAGACCTTCTTACCTAAGACTACACCTACTCCCCAGGCGCTTAATCTAGTCCAATAGCTTTATATTCTGTCTATATGATGATGACGCCCAAATCACCATCCCTGATCACTCACACTCTAAATGTGCATATCCAATCACCTACAGGACACTTCTCAGTATCGCCAAAACCCAACTCGGGAATCCTACTCTACAGCCTCTAAAATATCTCCTTCTCCAGCCTCCCAGTAAATGAGAGACTATCCCACTACTATTCCATTTATCCAGCCAAAAACCTAAGGTTACTCTTTGATTTTTCCCTTTCTCAGACTCTCCATAATCAATCCATCGGCAAGGCTGGTTCACAGTATTATCTCAATACATCCGTATGGAATGAATGGATGGACGTATAAACGAGCAAATGTGAGCAACTGTATTGTACCAGGAGTAGAAATTATGAAAAACTACTCTTTACAGTCCAAAGATACAACCAGCCGCATGCATTCTTAACATGCCTTTTTAAGAACGTATGAGGAAATGAAACCTGTAGTAAAGATGCTGAGATTTATAGCAAGTCCTCACTTCTCAAATTTGGTCACTTCCCCTTAAATTACTGGTATGATCTGCCCAGTGCTACTATTTTGGGAGATCTAATTTCCCTTCTGTTGACTAATTTAAATAAGTTCTGACATGCTGCATTTTCACATCCTTGCTCTCCAAATATAACAAATCCCCAAACTTCTATAATCTATTGATTTCCAGACACTGACTTTGTAACTGCTCAGGTGAAAACCTGGAGAACAAAACTAATGAGATGAAAGGAGCAATAGCTTTGGTGCACCAGAGCAGAAAGACAATGAGCCCTATCAAATTATCTCTGGGAACAATCTCTAACAGTGGAATAAATATGGTATTTTCTTCAACTTCACATTTTAATGCAATATTTTTGATTTGCTTTTCAAGCCAAATTCAATTAAAAATGTAAACAATTATTATTTTTAGGAATGAGAAACATTAATTCCCTTTTCTTCTATTAGTGCCTCTAAAAATGTCTTGGGTCATTGCTTTTTCCATAAAGGAGCAAAAATATTGAGCCAGGGTTGATCCAAGTAGCCATTAGCAGCTTAGTTTGCTGACTGTCATCCACACTCCTTTTAAGTTCTTTTGAATTCAGAAAGGAACTACCAGATGATAAGTGTACAAACCATACACTTTAACAAAATTTTGTCTAAAGCCCAGGTTGTAAACTTATTTCTCACACTGACAAAGTCAGTCCCAAGACAGTTCCTCTTGACCTGGCCTCCCACAGAGGTACCCAGAGATCACAAGGGTACAGCCTAGCCACCACCCCTGGAAAATCGTTGCATAACACATACACTCTTGACAGGAAGTCTATGGTATTATTTTGAAAATATTCTCACCTAGGTAATGAACCTAGTCATTTACTTCTTTTTTTCCGTCCCCGGTATGACAAAGCTAATGTAAATGGAAAGATAAAGAAATTATGCTGAAAAAGAGTGAAGAAGCAAATGATCTGAAGAGGAGCAGAAACTTTCAATACGAGAAGATGGAAACTATAGACCATCTCTGTGTGCACTGAAAGCATGACTGAAAGTGCTGCATGAAGCGTGCTTTTCAACCTTCAGAAACAAATTCCTGAGAATAAAGAGACACTGAAGAAAGCTATTAAGTAAAGCTGTGGTGACTTTTTTTGCTACAGTGGGACTTGCTGGCTTAAAACTTGGGTTCTTGCATTTTTTATGAAAAAAATAAACAAGTCTATGCAGCTGCTTCCTACATAAATCATGAAAAACTACCAGTTAAAGTCAAGGCCCTGTGCTCTATGACTAATAATGTGACCTTGAATAAGTCACTTACTTAACTTCTCTACCTTCAGTTTTCTCCCTGGGAAAATGAACAACAAGAGCACCTATCCTGTGGGGCTGATTTGAAGGTTGATAATAATAATAGCCAACAGTTGCTAAGTGCTACTATATACCAGGCACTATTAAAGTACTTTGGTCGTATGAATTCACTTAATCCCTACAGCAACTGTGTGAGGTAGATAAATGCTATTATTATCCTTATTTTGTAGAAAACGATACTGAGGCACAGAAATATGCTCCAAGGACCAGAAGCATCAGCATCATTTGGGAGCTTGTTAGAAATGCCAAATTTCAAGCCCCACCTCAGGTTACTGATTCAAAATCTACCTTTCAATAAGATTGACAGATGATTCCTATGCAAGTTCAAGTTTCAAAAGCACCTAACTAAAACCACCTGGCTAGAAGTGGTGGAGGGAAGAGCCTGAACTTTACAGACTTCACTCCATAACCACTACACTACATGCCTCTTTGCATTAGAGAATGCTTGTACAGTGCCCAGCAAACACTAAGTAATAAATATTTGTTATCATTACAATATTTCAAAGGTGTTTTGCAAAAGAATATATATCTGCATATATATATGTGTACATATATATATATATGAGTTTGGACTTAAAGGGCTGAAATTATTATCACCTAACACAGCACTGACAGGAATCTGACTCACAGAATTCTAGAACTTCAACATTGAAATGGAACATAAAGAGCTAAGAATTCAAATCTCTTGTTTTAGTTCTATGGAAATTGATACTAAGAGATGGAGTAATTTGACCCAGGTCAACCAGTAAATTAGGGGCACAGCAAAGATCTGAGCCTGAGCTTCATAGGTCCGCAATTATGCAGTCATTACCAGCTTCTCTTTATTCCCTGCTACTGCACAGGTCAAAAAAAAAGACAATTGAATAAGTAAGCAATTAGTAGATGCAGGTGGTTTCACATTACTGTTTAAAGTGTTCTGCCAACCACAGAGGCAAATTCTAATGTCTATGAATATAAAATATCTTCAAAATGTGTTTCTTCAGAAACCAATTGTTTACTGGCTCCACAGCAGATTTAGTAGATTTTCTGTTGGGTGTTCTCCTGGCATTTGGCCAAAGCATTGATGCAAAATTGGTGTTGTGTAATACTGTAAATTTGGGGCAATAATGTAGCTAACCTTCCCTAACAAGCACTCTTTCTATCCAGCATTAATCCTTATCTATCCATCTTCATAGGAAATTTTTTTCAAGAATGACAATGTTTTGATCTTTTCTAAATTGCATCATATTCTCCCCCACAAACACAGGAGTCCCACCTCATAAATACTAGTCTTCCAATTAGTCCAGCTGAATTTTATTTTCTGCTTGCCATCTCCACACTAATATTCCTTTTGCCTCTGTAAAAACAGACATCTACGCTTGACTGTGCATTTCTCCTCATATCTCTACATTCTTCCAAGATTCTCAATCATGCAAAATATATTCAGATTATTCTTTGAGCAAGTTATTTTACTCTTCCTTCAAACTGCTCAAAATTCATTTCTTTCAAAAAGGCTTATCTTTACTAACATGAATTGTTGAGGAGACTAGGATTTCTTGAATATTGGGCATTTTATTAATCTTTACTATGTAATCAACAGTAAAGACATAACATGCATAATCCCTGGCTTCACCTCCTATACAATATTATCTATACAGATACCAGCTGTCCTTAGTCTTATTAGTGAGTTTTAATTTGGATGCTTTGTGTGCATGTTCACTGTTCCTTGACGCCCCTCCCACCTTGTGTTCACTGCTCTCTGTGGTGATTCAGGATTTGCTGCAGACATCTGGTGAGAAGAAATTGTTTTGCCTTCCTATTGAAAGTGGGTGAATTATTTAGATCCACCTTTCCTAGATCGTATTTTTCCTTCAAGTGAATTTCCTTAAGGGTTTAAAGAAGTAGAAAGCTTAATGTATGCTCAACTGTATTAAAAATTAACAGAAAAAACAGGAAGCTATTCACCAAAATATTAATACTTTGGTGATCTAAGGATGTTTGAATTATGGATGATATTAATCTATTTACTTTTGCCTTTCTGTACGTTTTGAGATTAATAAAATAGAAGATAAACAATAATTTTAAGAAGGTCAAAGTTGTTAGAAACAGAAGTTTGGGTTCATATTGGTCTCTAGATAGTAATTCCTAACACACTGGAGAAACACACCAAAATTCAAACAATTTTTTAAAAAAATAATAAAAATCATTTAAAAAAGAAAACAGTCAACCTGGTAACTTAAGAGTAATAGGTGATCACAAAACAGAGAAAATTAGATTAAGATAAACCTACACAGAATTCTACACATCACATTCCAACTTGACATCATAGAACAGAAATCACCAATAACAAGAATGTAGGGAGACCTTCATTATTTCTCCCCATATGTTCCCAGACTCAAAGATCCAAGGAGTTACAACTAAGGAACAAGGCAGATGTTACTTTCTACCTTCTCTATTCTACTCTGTGAAAAAAGGAGTAACTATGCCCTTTTACCCTCCCCACCACCTTCTACTCAGCTGCAAAAAAGAAAAACAAGAACAATAAACTCATTTAATTCAAAAGACAAGAATTATATAAGTTAAATTTTCTCACCACAAAATAGTTTATAATAATTTTTTTTATTTAAGTACGATTTGGAAATTAGAAGAGGAAAATTACTCTTAAATACCCTTTGGATAGAAAAAGAAACCAAAATTACAACTACAGACCATTTGGAAAATAACAAAAATAAGAACACTACATATAAAAACTTGGACAATACTGCTGTATAGTCAAAGTTACTTCAAAGATTTTATAATTAATTTCTAAAAAATAAAATAAATGGGCAAAATACTTAAGTTAGGAAGAGTAAAACAGAACAAACTTCAAGAAAACCAGCAGAAATGAGGAATAAAATACAAATCAAAAAACTAAGAAATAGTGAAATAGAGGTAAATTGGAATTCATAAATAAATTCGAAAGCTATCTTAAAAGAACAATGAAATAAACCAACTAGGACAAATACAGTTTAAAAACAGAGAGGTGAGAGGAAAAAAACACAGACACATTTTATGAAATTAGAAAAAAGGGCAAGCTACAAAAAATGACAAAATTGTTTTCATTTGGAAAAAGTAAAAGATTGATAACCATGGAATAAATTGGGAAAAGTCGTCAAAGACATTCCTTCAAAAAATAATGCATGGCCTACACAGTTGATGGGAAAATGTTTCTCTTCTTTGAAGTAACAGATAATTCCTTTGATAAGCTCTTAATAAGTGTAGGAAAAAATGAAACACATTGTAATTAATCTTACAATCTAAAATAATCCTTATGGACAAATCTGACAAAGCAGATAAAAGAAACTACAAACACATCTAGTTTATAAAGATTAGTATAAAATTTATAAATAAAATATTAGCAAATACAAACCTTTAATGTAATGTAAACATTAAAAAAAAGACACCATGGTCATGGCCAGTTAGGAAACATTCCAAGAACGATAGAATGGTTCTTTAATACAGAAAAGATAAATCTGTAATGTAACTGATCACATCAATAACCAAGCGAATTAAAGCAACCATCTCAATAGATGCTGAACTAGCATTTGGAAAAAATTAAACATTCATTCTTGATAATTTTAAAATATATTAATAAAATAGAAAAAAATGTTCTTCATTCAACAACCAATGGTCAATGTCATACCTACTGTCAAAACACAAGAGGAATTTCCATTGACAAGTGTGCCTGAAGGCACCATTATTTATCACTGTTTTAAAAGTCTGACCAAACTAATAAAATAAATTATACAGAAGCAGAGACAGAATCATCATTATTGTTTGCACGTAGTGTGATTCTTTACCTGTAAGACCCAAGAGAATCAATTTTAAAATTTTTGATGTGCAAATTATCTATTAATAAAGACCCACAGGTTAAAACATGTTTTTAGCTACTGGCTGCCCAGAAGAGTTCTCTAAAATTGTACATTCTACTTCCTAAGGTTAAGGTTTTCTATACCAGAGCAGTAAACGGAACATATGACCTAGTACTTTTCTCTACTCATGTAATGAACTGGCACTTCGTGAGATTGTAGCTCTAATCTTTTTTTTTTTTTTTTTTAATTTTCTTCACTTTCATACTCAATGAAGGAATTCAGGATCCACTGTCAAAAGTTCTCCCGAGTCTTCTGAGAAAATCCCATCTTAAATGGCATCATATATTCAGCAGTCGCCATCTATTTACTTATTTATACCCCCAACAGAATACATTCTCAGTCCTACAGCAAGGTGATATACACTAAAGATACACAGATGAAGTTGTTCTCACCCGTCTTGTTACACTGCAGCAGAAAAAGACATGCATGAAAATTCAAGGGGTACAAAAACATGTTTTGTGAGACCATAAAAAAGGCAATTTTTACTCTTAGGTCCCTTTGAAATACACATTCAAGGATCTTTGCACATAACCATAGGCCCACTGCTATGGACTAAGAATAATTTTGAAAATGACTGAGTTAATATTCCGTAAAATGTTATGGAAAAACCCGAACAAACTTTTTGGCCAAACCAATATATCAGCTACTCCAGGAAAAACAAGTGATGCCTTAGTGTTCAAAGTTATCACCATGTTAGAGTACATGGACAGCTACTTGCTAAGAAAACAAACAAAAACTGCCTGTCTGTTAGACAATCCCTTAAAAGACACTTTGGCCCTGATTTGATCTGCTATTTTGTTGTTAACCGTCAAGTGGATTGAAGCTCCTGCCCAATCAGCAAGCATACCGCAGTGGCATAACACTAACACGAAACTCCTTAGGTTCCAACAGCATTACCTACCAGCCCATTTAACCTTCACTGTAAATCCTGAAACACAGTCGAGCTGCTGAGGCCACCTTGAGCACCCTGAGCCACCATGTTAGATCTGTGGCAGGATGCTGGAGCAGCAGCCACCCGGCAGGTAGGGGAGGGGCAACTACACCAAGGGCAAGTCAAAGAACTGCTTTCAAACTCTACGGAGGCCCACTGAACAAAAACAGAGCTATGAAAAAAAAAAAAAAAAAACAGAGCTATGAACTGAGACCCAGTAACCAATCAACAGGATTCAGAGATCAAGAACTCAGCTGACCTTACTTAAACATAGCCTCTGGCCTGAGCACAGGTCTAGGAGAAGGGTCACAACTTCAGTGAGTTTTGCAAACAGTGGCTTCAGGTACAAATTACAGATTAAAATTACAGTACAGCCTTCACGTTTGTTCAGTGAGGAAGTAAAAATGTTTGATTTGACATTAATCATTTCAGCCTCAAATACAGAAATGGTAATCAATGAAATATTTATTGAGCATCTAATACTCTATATTATGATCTATGTTAGGAGCTACAGAGAAACCCAAAAGAAGTATAGAAAGTGGTCCCTGACTTCAAGGAAATTACAACTTAGTTGACAACTCGTACACTTACATAGTGCCTTAAAGTTATTCTTCAAAATTCTTAATACAATTAGTTATTAGGCTACTTTTTTAATATCTATTGCCCTATGATGCTCTAAACTCCATGAGCTCAAGGATAATTACCACCTGATCCACAACTTTATTTCCAATGCCAAGTACATAGCATTTGCACAATAAATATATCTTGAATAGATGAATAAATGGATATATGATTGACATGTTAGAAACTTTTAAAATGAGTGTTATCTGAATTGTGCCTAGCGTAAATAAGCACAAAGAATGAAGAGAGCTCCAAGGACTTTAAGTGAGAAAAAGGTAATTATTATCTTTAACATCATCTATAAAGATTAAGACAAAACCAAATACACCCACATATAGGAGCTTAAAATGTCTACTTGATTTGTTAATTAAAAGATAACACTGCAGCTTCAGAGCCCCACCAGTCAGGCCCTGCTACCCTCCCAGCTGTCTCCTCCGGGCTGCTATGCTTTCTTTATGCTGATTTGCTGAAAGTGGGAATACAGTCCCATTCTTGATTCCCCTACAATATAGAAAAACAGGATGTAAAGTATAATAAATCTTTAGTGAATCTGGAGACAGCATGAATATGACCCAGAGAAACCTTCACTGTTAGTAGGGGTGGCCACTCACAGTCACTTTGAAAGCCTGCTGAGGCCTGCAGCATCCTTTCTGGTGATGCCTGTGAGTTTGTAGGTGCCTGCACAGGCTGCCTTGTCCAGATGCTTTGATATGGTCCAGATGCTACCAGGCCTGAAATCTACTGAGAAAGAGGTCATCGAAACACTGCCACCAAGCTTAGGCTTTACATTGCCCAAAACCTGCACGTCTTCTCCTGAATCATAATCCGATCATTGACCTGCAGTGGTAGCAGGAATCCTCTAGCCACATGCTTAAAAGGTCAGTTTTCTTTTCCGGTTTCTTTTTTTTTTTTTCATTCAGTAAATACGTTTTCATCATCCCTTTTTCTGATATTGCTGGTAGGATACAATCAATACTTCTCACATTTGCTTGATTTGCCCGTTCTTCTTTCAGAATCATTCCTACACTGCATTCAGACATGAACTTTCTCATTTTCTCGCTTTTTAAAAAAATTAGCTCTACCTTGATTGCTACTTTTATTTCCAGTGTAAATGCACATCCCTGCTTATGCACACACTCTATTATTCTCATGGCTTTTGTTCTATTGGATCATGATGGAATTCATAATGTTCATAAAACACGGCAAATACCTAGGGGGTCTTTGAATGGGGATGCCAGTACCCCTGAGTCATACAGAAATGTTCCAAGGCTAAGCAAGCATAGGTAACTTTAAAGCAATGATTTTCCCGATCCTCAGCTTCGTTCTGAGAATACAACCAACGTAGAGAGATCTTTCTGGACCTTCCCTTTCACAACTATATACGTGAAAATCCATATTCACTTTTCACTTGGGCACCAAGATTTCTGACAGCTATCCTCCGTCAATCGCTTCTGTGTTTGCTTATTTATTCTTATTACATATCTGGTAGATTTAGATTAATGAGAATAAGCTATCATTAAAATACCTTTTGTATACCTAGTATTTTCCACGTTTTGGCTGCTGTTTTATTCCATTGAACCCCGTCTCATTCCCATAATCAGTAATATTCAGATGCAGATGATAAGCTAAGGTATTTTATCATGAACCTTTTTCGGGGGTTCCAGTTTAAGATGACGTCGTTAACAGGTTCCCGAACTCACCTCCTTCCACAAACACACCGAACCTACAGCTACGTATGGAATAACTGCCTCTGCAAAAAAACCTAAACACTGTCTAAGCAACTCCTACCTGCCTGACAAACAAGAGAAGGTCCACATCAAACCCGGTAGGAGAGGCTGGGACACAATCTCACCATAAACCCCACCCCCTCCCAGCACAGCGCCCCACCGTCAGGAGGGAACACAAAATGGGAGCTTCTCCCCGAGGAGACAAGGGCCTGAACCCCACATGGGACATCTTCAACCTTTTAAGACCTGCACCTGAGAGACAAGCCCCTGAAATACCTAGCTTAGAAAACGCACACGACTCCAGCCCGGACTCACCCGCCCCACGGTTCCCGCCGACGACCGGGCTGCTCCGTGACTGTGTGTGGGACACGCTCAGCTTGTCTGGGAGCTTCGCCCAAGGGGCAAGCGTCTGAGTTGACACTCATTTGGCGGCCTGCTGGGGAGCGTTCCAGAAACAGAGACAGGAGGGCGGCGCCATGCTCGCGCTCTTCCTCTCCGCGCTCTGAGCGCCCGCGTCTCCGGAAATGCCCTATCACGCGCATGTGCGGTCCGGGTTCTGTGCCTGGTGCCGTGGTTTTTGAAACTGCCTCCCAGAGGACTCATCTAGATCGCCTGGCACCGGTGGCCAGAGGGGCTTACCCTTGCAGTCCCATAGACCTGTATATGAATGAGTGAGCCTTTCTCATATCAAGTTTACTTCTATGTTTATAGATATAATTATATAACTATAAAAATTTGCAAAGCATGTTGCTTTGTGTCATAACAACAGTAATAAAGTTAGATCTATTAGAGGCTTATAGAAAACATGTTAATTTCAGATTTCAATTCATATACTTAATTTTTACAAAGTGTATGTAATCAATATAAGACATCCAAGCATAAAAAAATTCCATTAGATTAAAATTTTGTGGAGGGAGTTGAATGGAAGGGAAAATTCAAGAAGACAAGGAATGGTATATATAAATTTTCTGATTATTAAAATAATCTTGTTCCCATATTTAAATGAGGTATCGTGGCTATTGAATTGCTATTATTTCAAGATTCCACTGGAAATTTTTTTTAATTATTTGACAGTTTGTTGTAGGGCTAATACTTATAACTGGCTAGAAATTACATTATTTTCAACAACTTAAACTTAGAGTAAACTATTTTAGCTGTTAACCTAATGTGGAAGAAATAAAAAGATTTTCAGTATTATTTTAACTGATGTGCAAACAAAAAGTTCAAGGTCCCTTATGGTAGTCCATGGAAGACTAATGTGTATGTACTCCACCATGCATATCGGTACAAACTTAGCTGACGTGCTTTTGCTCTGAAGCTTTGGTTCATCCTTAAGTTCCTCAGTTGGGGCGCTTCTCTGGCTGACATTAGATTTCTCAGAAATCTAGTCCAGGTAGCTCTGCACCAAGCCCAGGCTGATTCCTTTGCACGTTCATTCGCCTAAGGAGTGGAGAAAATGTCAGACCTTCAGATCCCTCCTGACAAGTTTGCAACTTTAAGATCTCCTAAACACAATATTCATCAAAAATTGCACACACAGAGCCAGATGAGTCTAATTTGCTATTTCTCTAGCTCTATAATGATATGGTTTTACTAATGTTATACTCAGTTTTCATTACTAAGCACAATACCTAACATATTAGTTTTCAACTTATGAATTTGGATTTAAGTGGGTTTACATTTTTTCCCTAAAAACGGTGAATGGCTACTAAGATACTACAGTATCTTAGTACTAAGGGGACAGCTTACACACCATTTCAGATCTCCTCAGCTGCACTGTCTCTCAGTCCAGCCACAGCCCTGACAACCAGTACTGCATGGGTTCTGACCTACTTTTGCAGGTGCAGCCTGACGGTGCTTTTCATCAGTCCTGTGCCAGGCACACCTTTCCTTCCACCCTGGGATGTCTCTGTTGACACCACAGAGTGAGACACCAGAGGAACCTGTTCCCTGCCAAGCCATATACAACCCAGAAGTGCAGGTGATTTGTCCCAGGAGGTGAACCTTTGACAAATGGGGAGTGGGAGCCTATGGATAATTGTTTCTCCTTTTCTTCCCCAGGAAAGATGATCCTAAGTTGCATTTCATAGGGTGGATCACTTATGAATAAGATGGCATTAAGGACCCCATTATTTATAGTAAATGGCATGCAGTAGCATCACAATTAGTAGGTATTGTTGTTTTTAACTGTGGTTTATTCAGATAAGATATAGTTGGATATGAGGTATTGGGTTATGCTGCAGCTATAGCACTTGAATGGCACAGAGACAATGATACTTATAGGATTGTAGAGCAGGTTGACTTTTGTTAACTTTCCCATGGTAGTAGCCAACTTGATAATACTTCCTTGTATTGGTTCTCCTTGAAAAAATTAAATGATATGCTTGGGGTATTAAACCGTTGACATACGTAAGCTGTGAAAGCCAGAGAGCCAAATAGAAGCTGTGAAGGAGCCTTGTCTCTTGCAGCTGCAGGACAAATTGTGTTGAATATCAGGCACAGAATCCAACAGTAACACTAGCAAGATTGCAAAGGAAACTGAATGTATAGACTTAAGAGTCACCCATGCCAAACCATATCTCTCTTATAAGAAAAAGGGGGAATTCTGAGACCTGGGATGGGAATATTTCCTGAATGAGCCTGAGAATCTTCAATTCTCATATTCCCCTAAACTTTCCATGAAGGCAAAAGAAGAGGAGAGCAGGCTGGACACTCTGAAAGGCCTTCACTTGATGCAGGTGCCTTACAAGTTGACACCTCCTCAAGACATGTCCTCCCCAAGAGCCAACCCCATGTCCTTCGCTACCTCCAGGCCAGTAGCCAGGCCAAATCTTAGCACAGCTGATATAGGCATAGAGAGGTCATACTCTGGGAGGAAATACCTTACACTTGAAGGAAACACAGAACCTGGCTAATCTGTACCATAGGAACTGAGAGAACATATGTAGGAGTGGATCCTGAGGGTGTTGGTCCAAGGGAAGAAATATAAAACCAAACAAAGGAGAATTTATGGAAAAGGGGAACCAGTCCCAATACATTGCTGGGATGCTTTCTTGAAGTTTAAACATGATGGGTCCATAATAAATGAGGTAGACATGCCAGAACGTCCTTAGCATAGTAGTAAGAAAGAGGCCAGAGGATCAGGGAGGTTGGAATATTCAAGTGGATTTATTAGGTAAGAACCCAACCCATGTCAACGTTTCCTGGGAGGGCCCAGAGAATACCTTCACTAGAGCAACAGAATGCGTGGATGGGGCATGAGGGGGATCTTTAAGAAATATCTTTAAGAAATTCAGTGAGGGATATCCTCTGAAGCACAGTATTTATAGTAGAAGATAGTACCATACAGCTCTGCTCTCTAGTGCCAAAAGGCATGATTCCAGAACAGCAGCAATGGGGTGTTACTTTTAATTGTTGAAAGCAAGGTGGATGTCGTTACCAAGTCATAAGATCAGAAGTGCATAGCAGCGATGTTTTAATTCACTGACAGAATGATAGGAATAAATAATGCATTCAGGATCAGATCTAGAAGGCACCAGTAAATTATATGAAAAGGCAGCCCAGACTGCCGCATTACATACCTTTTTTGTATTAACACAAATCCCTCAGCTTATTTATAAGGTCTCATGGGGAAGGGAGAGCTGGTCCCTTCCAACCACCTGACCGAGGAAGAGTAACAGTCCTGGTGCACAGATGAGTCAGTGCAATGTTGACGCAGGCAAAAACGGACTTCTGTTGTGTCACAGTCCCACTCAGCATTCGTCCTCAAGGGCGGTGATGAAAGGAAATCTTTCCAGTAGGCACAACAGCAAGCAATCCAAATAGGTTGCTGTTGTGTGTGTGGAAGGAGAAGTGGTCCAAAGTGCAGATACACATGGATTCCCATGCAGGTGAATGGCTTAGATGGTTGTTCGAGGTCTGAAAGGAATTATACTGAAAGATTGGGGCCAAAAAAAACTGGTGAAGAGGTATCTGGATGACCCCTGGGGGATAGCCAAGACACGCGTATTTTTTTGTTTCGTGATAATACCCACCACTGCCCATTGCCTTCACTGTCACCAGAGTAAGCTATCTCAATGGTAAATCTGACCTTGTCACTCCCCTGCTCATAATTTTCAACTGCTATTTTAAATAATGAAAGTAAATTTCAAAAAGAAAAATCATGTTCAATATGACATTAATTTTGTTCAAAATACCACATATGTATAAATAAAAGATTAGAAAATATATATGAAAATATTTTAAATGATTATGCAGAATAGAATTTTTCCTTATATTTTTATATATTTTCTAAGTTTTCTTCAGTTTATGCATTACTTTAGCAAGTAGAAAAGAAACAATAAACGCTAATAAGTAATACCAATAGAAGTTAAAACCAAGCTAAAATCATCCCTCTCAAAAACAAAAATTTTGTACCACAGATTGTCCCTTTAAAATTTTTGTCAAGGGTTTCCATATTTTAAGAATCAAATTGTATGTTTCCTACCTGAGTCTGGCCTAGAACAGTGAATATTTTCATGTGTGGTAGATATTTATAGGTGGAATATTAAATTGTTATTATTTTCAGGAGGGTTGAGCCAAACCAAAAGTTGGCTCTCTCAGTAAGAGCTTTGAAAAAAATTATGTTAAAAGAAAAAGGGTTCAGGGCTTCCCCGGTGGCGCAGTGGGTCCGCCTGCCGATGCAGGGGACGCGGGTTGGTGCCCCGGTCCGGGAAGATCCCACATGCCGCGGAGCGGCTGGGCCCGTGAGCCATGGCCGCTGAGCCTGCGCGTCCGGAGCCTATGCTCCGCAACGGGAGAGGCCACAACAGTGAGAGGCCCGCGTACCGCAAAAAAAAAAAAAAAAGAAAAAGAAAAAGAGTTCAAAAATAATTCTGTCTATCTGAAATAACGCTATAAAGGACTATGATTTCAGAGAAGGGAAAAAATATCTGGAAGGGGAAGGTAAACATGAGAATACTACCAGCCAGATTGCTTAATACAGACCCATGTGGCAGGCAAATTAAGAGAGTAAATCCTGAGTTCTCATCACAAGGGAAAAAAAAATTCTATTTATTTATTTTGTATTTATAGGAGAAGATGGATGTTCGTTCACTAAAATTACTGTGTAATCATTTCATGATGTATGTAAGTCAAGTCATTATGCTATACACCTTAAACTTATACAGTGCTGTGTGTCAATTATATCTCAATAAAACTGGAAGAAAAAATATAAATAAATAAATAGAATGACACTAAGTTTCCTTATCCTGGTACACAAAGCCCTCCTGGATCCAACCCTTGCTCATCTTTCTAATCTCATTGTCTCCCACTTCTTGGCAGTTCTTGCCTAACTGCTTACCATCTCTCAACTCCTATATTGGCCTTGCAGTCCTCCTGGCTAGAATGACCTCTTCCCCATTTTACATTGCCCCTCACCCTGCCCATCTACCTGAATAAATGATACTCACCCATTACACTTCAGATTGTTGCTGTCCCACTGCAGGAAGCCTCATCTAGCTTCCTCTTCCCAAATTGTACCCTATACTACCCTAGGCTTATCTCCCTGTTGAACTTAACTACTTGATATTTCAAGTATCAGTTAATCCACCTGTTTGCTAAAGGCAGGAATCATGTCATCTGTATCCCTTTATCCCAAGTGATTGGTTTGTTACCTGAGTCACAATATGCAATTAATAAATTTTGGAGTGAATATATTAAAGGAGAAAAGAAGGTATGACACTTTACTCAATAAATGCGTTCCTAAAAATTTGAACAGCTTTGGAAAAAACCAAGTTCCACATATTTGAATTTCTGTGTTAGGGTAGACAGATCGCTCCTGTAATCATGTCTGACTTCCCACCCTTGTGTTACTCAAACATCTGCTACTGAGTGATTAAACTGCTCTGACGCAAGCATCGTCCTGGCCTGAGGCCTGACACTCAAAGGTGCCCTGGTTACCCAGAGCTTTCCAAGTCACTGTCCAGCTGTTCTCACTGATGGCCCATGCTATCACAAGTCCCAACCTACTGGGTTCTAGTTTTCCATGTTGCTAGTATTCAGTTTTAGTTACTGCCTACTTTTTCATGTCTCTGCATGTTCTTCTAGTTCCTCTAAAGTCTGTGTCTTCCATCGTTTATCTTCTAGAAACTAAGTCTCTGATCCCTGCTGGCTGCCTTCCAACTGTACCTGGGTTAACTGTGTAACCTTTGAATCTCTATGAGTCACCTGCCCCAGATCTTGGGCTTGGTTTGGGCCAAAGGTACATGTACGCTATCTGTTTTTCATGCCTGCCGGATTGGCATCCAGTTCGGGACCTTCCTTCAGATTCATTTCATGGTGTATTGCCTGGATTTACAATCCTGACCTTCTCTGGCCATTCTCACCCTCCCTCTCAGTAACCAGATGCAACATCCCCAAATTATTAAGCTTTTGTGTAAATTCATACTTTATTATACTGAGCTGGCTTAAAGTGAATTACAGTTGTGATACAGGGCAGAGCAACGTTTAGGAATGAATTCAGAGGTAATGACTCTCTCTGAGCAGATACAACAATTCAGAGCTTTGTATGAGATGATTTAGAGGAGGAGTTGCCAAATAAGTCTGGTGAGAGGCACTTCTTAGAGAACACCGAGCGTGAGCAAGCTTTCTACATCAAGAACCTGACAGTGTGGCTGGGGGAAGCCAGCAGACAAGCTCCTATGACATCATCAGCAAGTGTGCATTAACATGACAGCCACTTGTTAGTTTATCAGCCTCCCTCTAGCTACCTGCCTTAAATTATTTCATTACCAATATTGACTTAGCTTATCCGAATGCCCTAATGTGGAAACCATTTTTGTTTCCCCCGAAATCTATGGAATAACATTGATAGGAAAAGGAAGTTGAAACTTCGTCCCAGATAAGACTTGAGCATTATGTACGCACTTATGTAACTAACGTTTCCATCATATTTGCGATCAATTTGTTGGTGTTTCCCTGACTTATCTGCATCCTTCCTTCAAGTAATAAGAATGACTTCCCAGTTTAACAAGTCTTCTTTATTGTGCAGGATGATATTAGGTACGTTGTGGCTGGCTGTCCTCTGCTTTTATGGATACCTTGGAATTTGGCTATTTGCCCCAAGATCTCCTTCCTTGCTTCTCTTTTTTTTAATTCCCTGCACAACTAAGCTTGGGGTAAATATGGATGTCCATACTATTTTCTCATCAGTCATTTATAAACCACAACAGGACAATGGTCATCTTTAGATCTTTGGCTATCTTTTTAAAGAAACATTTTTCCCTTCATTTCCTTGTTATTCTTCAGTTGTTTTAAAGTCTACCTAGTCACTGAGCTGTTTGATCTGCAACTTTTCATGGAAAAGAATTGTGTTATGCTGAGTCAAGTGCGGCATGCTGCATTCTCTATGCTGAAAATGTGGTATTGATTTTTTTTAATGATATTTGGTCTGGGGGGTATGTATTACTGTTGAATTATTATGTCTTTTTGAATCGAACACTTCACAAATGGATTCGAGATGGTCCTTTATGGATTAAAATACTTCTGAACAGTACATTATCTGTAACAACAAAATAAATCACCAGTATGTGAATAAAATATTGATTATATCTTCCTCTCCCCATTAATTTGGACTTTACATCTAGTATTTCATTTTTTATGTAATGAGATGGCATTATATCCACATTGATTACAGCCTAGAAACATTTTCAATTAAAATTTCAACAGAATAAGTATTCTTTGTTTCAGGTAGAGCTGAAAACAAAAATTAAAATGGCATTTTCAAAATAATTTGTTTGATGTCAATAGCTTATCAGTGACTTTTTTCATGAACTCAAAACAATCTCATTAGAAAATTATCTATCTCATGAGCTGCCACAAATAGCTGAGAACATAGATTTTAGGCTGGCTCTAGGCATTAGCTCTTGATTCAACCAAAAAGAAGAATTTGAAAATATCCATAACACATATCTCAGCTGATGGAAAAAGGTGCTTGTTTAACTCATGTTCTCCCACTTAGACCATACAAATGGATTCCTTTTCATATTGTGATTGCAGTCAGGGGTAGTGGAAACAACATCCCAGTTATCCTTAACATAATCATCACCATCACCACCTATGGGCATAACAAGATTGAAACCAGGGATTTTCAAAGGGTTAGAAGAGGGTATAAATGTCAAATATAGTTCCAAAATGAACAGGAAAGACCTGGAAGTGTATCAAGGATGAGGTTAGTTATCAGGTATCTAATATAAAGATATTAAGAACAAAGTGAGGGAAGCACAGCTGACACAAGATCCCATTTCATGATTTTTGAACCACTGCTTTTTCATGGCTATTATCAACAATAGCAGGATATAAAGTGCTGCTGTGGAAATACATTTACATTTTAGGAGAACAAAAGAAAATACACTAATGGTTAAAAAAATGTTACCAGGGGGACTTCCCTGGTGGCACAGTGGTTAAGAACCTGCCTGCCAATGCAGGGGACACGGGTTCGAGCCCTGGTCCGGGAAGATCCCACATGCCACGGAGCAACTAAGCCCGTGTGCAACAACTACTGAGCCTGTGCTCTAGAGCCCGCGAGCCACAACTACTGAGCTCACGTGCCACAACTACTGAAGCCCACGTGCCTAGAGCCTGTGCTCCGCAACAAGAGAAGACACCGCAAGGAAAAGCCCGTACACCACAACAAAGAGTAGCCCCCGCTCGCCACAACTAGAGAAAGCCCGCGCGCAGCAACGAAGACCCAATGCAGCCAAAAATAAATAAATAAATAAATTTATTTTAAAATATATATATATATTACCAGGGAAGAAAAATGAGAGAGATAGTCATGAAGAAGGGTTGTACTTGGGGTTAAACTTCTATCAGATCCTATAAAGTGCTAGACAAGTTAGGTTAAGTTATATACTCTTCAAAACAAGCTTTTGTGGTGCTGACACTATCCATCCTGTATTACAGACGAGGAATTGGGCTCAGCAAGTTTAAGCAATATGCCTGAGGTCACTCGGCTGAGAGAAATGAGGCAGAATTGAATACCATGCTCAATTAATGCAAAGATCATTTGTTCTAGTACAGATGTCAGTGGTTCTCAAACTTCACCTCATGTTCCTATCACCTAGGAATCTCTGAAAACGTATCTCTACCTGGGCACTGCTCAGGGTCCATTGAATATGAATCTCTAAAGGAGCTAAACATCAGCACTTTTCAAAAGCTCCCCATGTAATTATACATGTGTAGCTAAGATTGAAAACACTGTGCTAGTAGAAGGCCACCTAAAGGCTGAGAATTAATAGGCAGTGAAAAGGCCACCTGTCCAGGAACAAAGTACGCAATATTTATAAAAGACCTTATTGACATACTTCCTGTAAGTGGCCAAAACAAATATTTTTGGCCAGAAGCATATCAGCAGATGATTCCTTTCAGCATGTTTACAGCTAATTTGTAGCCCAGAAAGGAAGTTGGAAAACAATGATAAGTGGATATAACTTCCTGATAAAAACTTAGAATTGCATACATATTTCCTGTAGGAAATTCTAAGTTAATTGAAGTCGTAAGAATCCACTTGAAAGGCCACTGCAAGAAAATAAACAGAGCTTAAAACTTGTCCTTTCCCTTTTCAATAAGTTCCCTTTACTTTTCAGAATAATTCAGTATCTAAAGCTTTAAGAAATGTGGGGGATAAGATCAAGAGAGAGGTCAAGATGGAAGCCTAGAGAAAACATAGAGAGATTACTTAGAGATTGGGAACGGAAGACATCACATCGAGAGAGAGGATAGCAATGAAGAAGAAAGGTACCTAGGACTGAACCTCAAGGACCTCCAGACACTCATGAAGGAGTGGCAGGAGGTAGAAGAAACATGGGAGAATGTAGGGGCTGGAAGCTAACAGAGGTGAAGGTTTCCGGAAGTGAGGAGTGTGCATCTGATCAATCATTGCTGAGAAATCAGGGAAGCTTAAGACAGAGGAGTGTCCACTGCATTTGGCAAATACAGATGTCACCAGGGACCAGTGTTATTTTTTGTTGTCCACTCTATTCCAGGTGGACAGTTAGACCTCATTTGTGCTCTGCCAAGAAATTAAAACAACTCTTGTGTCTGACAGCCAAACAAGTTGGAAGTACTGCCTGAGATCAATTTTACATCCTGCAATTTTAAAGTTCTTTTAGCAACAGCTAAACCTTAGTTCTTCAGTGGGAGGGAAACAAGAGTTAGAAAAGCTGAGATAGAAAAGAAAACAATACATATTTAACCTTAATTTTTTTTTCTTCACGTTTTACTGAGATATAACTGATACGCAGCACTGTATAAATTTAAGGTGTAAAACAAAATGATTTTACTTACGTACATCATGTAATGATGATCACTGTAAGTTTAGAGAATATCCATCATCTCCTGTAGGTACAAAATTAAAGAAATAGAAAAAAAAACGGTTTTTTTCTTGTGATGAGAACTCAGGATTTACTCTCTTAACAACTTTCATATATAACACACAGCAGTGTGAATTATATTTATCATGTTGTACATTACAGCCCTAGTACTTATTTATCTTGTTACTGGAAGTTGTACCTTTTGAATGCCTTCCTCCAATTCCTCCTCCCTCCACACCCCACCTCTGGCCACCACAAATCTGATCTCTTTTTCCATGAGTTTGTTTGTTTTATTTAACCTTAAAATTCATCTTACCGATTTTGAAGACTAAATCAGCACTGTACTTCGAGTTACTTCTCTTGACTCATAAAAGTTTACAAGAAAGTATGCTTTAAATTTTTTAATTTCTTTACATCAAATGTCTGTGAATAACAAGATACTCTTCAGAAAATTGTGGTTGGAGGTATATTTAGAAAAGTGTGGGTTTTAGATCTTTATTTACTAATCTCTTTAAAAGTAGAGAGAGTCATACTATATGATTTCCATTATATGACATTCCGGATAACGAACAGTAAAAAGATCACTGGTCGCCAAGGCTTTCAGAGGGAGACGGGGAGGACTGAATAGGTGATGCAAATGGGATTTGTCAGGCAGTGAAACGATTCTGTATGATACTGTACTAGCAGATACATGACTTTATGCATTTGTCAAAATCCATAGAACTTTATAGAACAAAGAGTATACTTTAATTTATAAAAAAAAATTTTAATCTTTTATAAGGTCTGAGGATCTCTAGAAGGAATGAAACTATGAAAAGAGAATATAACTGTATTACAAATACTGTATATGAAACAACTTCAGTGAAGGGGAGTCGAGGGGGGAAATGTGCTGACCCAAATAAATTTAGAAATGAGTGGAGACTACAGGACTAAAGGCAAAAGGAAGTGCTTATAAGCGCTGTACTAAAATTAATAAAGTTATTTCCCATAGGAGTACAGAGTACAGTAATAAAGTTATTTCCCATAGGATGATACTGCTATCCATGCGTACCATAACTGAACAGTAAATAAATGGATAGCAGATGGTGGGAGCCTGATTTCTCAATGTTGCTGTGGCAGGTTATAGAAGAACAAGGGGAAGAAGCTGGGATGACCCATTTAGTGACTGATTATAATGGGAGATATCAATAAGACCTCAAGTTTAGCTTAATATAGATGTATATGGTTACATATAGAAATATTTATAGATGTCATAAATATATATACACATATATTTCCTTACTCCATCAGCAGAGAAGACCTAGAAGTGACAACACGCCAGGAATGATAAGCACACTGGTTTCTAATACCAGCCACTCAGAAAAGAAACCAAGGCTCCTTGGAGAAATGGCTGGTTCTAGGACTGGGGTAAGAAATATATAAAATAAGTCTGGAGAATCTCATAGTGCCAGAAAGTACAGAAGTACTAAAAAACAAAACATTGATGGGGCTATGTCAAAAGGAAAACAGGAGCCCAGGGAAAGAGCTCCCAATGGCCAAATGCTGGAACAATTTGAGCAACAAAATAAACAAAATAGCGTTAGTTTAGAACACAAAGTGTAAAATAGATATCCATGAGTTCATGCTGATTTAAATAAACAATTGAATTAAATAAATAAGTGGAGGAGGCTGCTCTCTTTCCCCGCCAGCACCGCTCACACTTCAGACAGGAGCCCAGGTTGTCACCTGTGCTTCTGACTGACTGGCTATAAATCAGAGGTTCCCAAGTCTCCCTCCTCGGGTTTGATTAAATAGCTAGAGTGGCTCACAGAACACAGAGAAATATTTTACTTACTAGATTACTGTTTTTTTATAAAAAGATACAGTTGAGAAACAGCCAGACAGAAGAGATGCACGGGGAGACGTATGCAGAAAGGGCTCAGAGCTTCCAATCCCTCTCCAGGAGAGTCACTCTCCCCAAACCTCCACGTGTTCACCAATCTGGAAACTCTCCAAACCCTGTCCTCTTCGGTTTTTATGGAGGCTTCATTACATACGCACAACTGATTAAATCATTAGCTTTGATGATGGATTCAAACTTCAGGCTGTCTCCCCTTCCCAGAGGTTGGAGGGGTGCGGGATTGAGGGGGAGCTGAAAGTTCCAACCCTGACTGGTTCTCCTGGCAACCAGCTCCCATCCTTAGATGCTTTCCAAAAGTCATCTCATTAACATAACAAAAGACACCTTTTATCATCCTTAGCACTTAGGAAATTCCTAGGGTTTGGGGAGCTATGAGCCAGGAATATAGCTCATAGCTAAATATAGATGAAAAATATATATTTTAATGACCAGATATATATTTCTTATAAATCACAGATATCCCAGTGTGTCACCCCAAAATTCATATGTCAAATCCTAACCTTTCAGGTGATAGTATTAGGAGATGAGACCTTTGGGAGGTGATTAGTGCCTTATGAGAGAGCCTCCAGAAAGCTCCGAAGCCCCTTCCACCATATAAGGATATAGTCTGTGACCTGGAAGAAAGCCCTCACCCTGCCTTACTTGGCACGTTCACCTCAGATTTCCAGCCTCCAGAATCCTGAGAAATAACTGTGTGTTGTTTCTAAGCTACCCAGTCTATGGTATTTTGTTATAGCAGCCCAAATGGACTGTTATATTTCAAAATTGTTCTCTTATTTGATGATCATCACACATCTGAGAAGAATGGAAAAGAGAAAAAAAGCATTCCACATTTGTATTTATTAGAAAATATAAGAGATAATAAAATGCACACTGTATCTTTTTAGTCAAAATGCACATGAAATGAATAAAGCAAAGACCATGAAAAATACACCATGTGACTGAGTAGATATATTTCTTGACAATTGTGATGCAATTGGATGACTTTCTCCCTGGTGGAATGTGCCTCTTTATGGAGCATCCTCATTACCTAGCATTTCCCAGGCCTATAAATTTCTATGCAGCCACCCACAGGTAACAGTAATACACTAGATCCTACTCCTTAAGTGACCGTGAATATTGCTTGCCAAATCTGAAAACAGAAATCCACACAAGTTTCATTAAATTGAATATTTGTGCCTTATACACTGGGCTACATGTTATATTTTTTAAAGTTAAGATTTTAAATTGTGAAATTCAAGTAAGTTTTAGTGCATTCTTATATCTGACAATTAGTGATTAGATATCTGGAAGATTTACTAATAAAAGTTCCAAAATCCAAGGACTCCTTGACAAATGAAGAAGCTGAAATTCAAGAAAGTTCTCACTGCAGAAATATCATGTGAAATTTCTTCTCAGTTAGCTTATTTTATTTTATTTTATTTTTTTTTTTTTTTGCGGTGTGTGGGTCTCTCACTGTCGTGGCCTCTCCCATTGCGGAGCACAGGCTCCGGACGCACAGGCTCAGCGGCCATGGCTCACGGGCCCAGCCGCTCTGCGGCATGTGGGATCTTCCCAGACCGGGGCACGAACCCGTGTCCCCTGCATCGGCAGGCAGACTCCCAACCACTGCGCCACCAGGGAAGCCCAGTTAGCTTATTTTAGATATGTCAGCAAAGCACCTGAAATTGGCCACCGTGTCCAGGATCTGCTTTGTTTCTGACTCTCAGATTGAGGCAGTGGATCAGTTCATGAGCAGATGGGGGTTTGGTGCTCTACAGCAGGGGTCCCCAACCACAGGTCCAAGGCCTGTTAGGAATCAGGCCGCACAGCAGGAGATGAGCGGCGGGAGAGTGGAGTGAAGCTTCATCTGCCGCTCCCCATCGCTTCCCAACACTCGCCTTACCGCCTGAACCACCACCGTACCCCGCCACCGCCCACCACACCCTACACTCCTCCACGGAAAAATTGTCTTCCACGAAACTGGTCCCTGGTGCCAAAAAGTTTGGGGACTGCTGCTCTACAGCACGGCTCCTGCAGGGCTCCTCTGCAGGTCACCCCCTCAGTTCAGCATGCGAGGAGATGAGAACTCAACTAAAATCTCAATTTTACCATAAGACAAAAAGACCTGCATTCCAAATCCTAAAATGTTACCGTATTTCACTGGAATTTTAATTACCCTTTGACAACAACTTCATGAGCACTTGTCTGAATTTTAGACTTGAAATTTTTTAATACGGCATGATGCCGTAAATTTGAAATTTTGAAACACACAAAACCATGGAATATTTTATGATGTTTACGTATTTTTTTCCTTTTTCTATTGAAGTATAGTTGATTTACAACGTTGTGTTAGTTTCAGGTGTACAGCAAAGTAATTCAATTACACACATATGTTTTCAGGTTCTTTTCCATTATAGGTTATTATAAAATATTGAGTATAGTTCCCCGTGCTATACAGTAGGTCCTTGCTGGTTACCTATGTTATATATAGAAGTGTGTATATGTTAACTCCAAACTCCTAATTTATCTCTTCCCCCACCTTTCCCCTTTGGTAACCATAAGTTTGTTTTCTATGTCTGTGGGTCTATTTGTTTCATATAATTTCATTTGTATCAGTTTTTTAGATTTCACATATAAACGATATCATATGATATTTGTCTTTGTCTGGCTTACTTCACTTAGTATGATAATCTCTAGGTCCATCCATGTTCCTGCAATTGGCATTATTTCATTCTTTTTTATGGCTGAGTAGTATTCCATCGTGTAAATATACCACATCTTCTTTATCCATTCTGTTGATGGAAATTTAGGTTGTTTCCATGTACAGACTTGAAATTTTAGACAGTGAGATTTATGGTTTGCTTTGAATATGCATAACATGGAATACATTTTCTAATGTATTTTCCTTCTCAAATTCTTTTGAAACTAAAAGACTATACCCTGTCCTGGGTAGCAAATTACCTAGAACTAGCATCTTAGAGAAAGACTGAACTTTATAAGTTATCTTACTTACTTCCCTCTCCCATTTTGACTGCTGGGGGAAAAAACTTCATCTCCATCAGAAATCTAAAATATTTTCATATCAGAGTATAGTTGTTGCAAATACCTTGAAATACTATTTGTGCTCATCAATACTAGAAGTTATGTAGTCATTAACTCTGTGTACTAGATCATGATTTAAAGCATTATTTAAGCATGTATCACAAATTTTCAAAAATTTGACAAATGTCCTTCAACAGTGTTGGTTTTCTTTGAAATTTTACGTGTTTTATTCTATGCATTAAAAATATTATTCTGTAGCCAAAGCAGTCTTGAGGGAAAAAAATGGAGTTGGAGGAATCAGACTCCCTGACTTCAGACTATACTACAAAGCTACAGTAATCAAGACAATATGGTACTGGCACAAAAACAGAAACATAGATCAATGGAACAAGATAGAAAGTCCAGAGATAAACCCACGTACCTATGGTCAACTAATCTATGACAAAGGAGGCAAGGATATACAATGGAGAAAAGACAGTCTCTTCAATAAGTGGTGCTGGGAAAACTGGACAGCTACATGTGAAAGAATGAAATTAGGACACTCCCTAACACCATACACAAAAATAAACTCAAAATGGATTCAAGACCTAAAGGTAAGACCGGACACTATAAAACTCTTAGAGGAAAACATAGGAAGAACACTCCTGGACTTAAATCACAGCAAGATCTTTTTTGATCCACCTCCAAGAGTACTGGAAATAAAAACAAAAATAAACAAGTGGGACCTAATGAAACTTAAAAGCTTTTGCACAGCAAAGGAAACCATAAACAAGACGAAAAGACAACCCTCAGAATGGGAGAAAATAGTTGCAAACGAATCAATGGACAAAGGATTAATCTCCAAAATATATAAACAGCTCATGCAGCTCAATATTAAAGAAACAAACAACCCAATTTAAAAATGGGCAGAAGACCTAAATAGACATTTCTCCAAAGAAGACATACAGATGGCCAAGAAGCACATGAAAAGCTGCTCAACATCACTAACTATTAGAGAAATGCAAATCAAAACTACAATGAGGTATCACCTCACACCAGTTAGAATGGGCTTCATCAGAAAATCTACGAACAACAAATGCTGGAGAGGGTGTGGAGAAAAGGGACCCCTCTTGCACTGTTGGTGGGAATGTAAATTGATACAGCCACTATGGAGAACAGTATGGAGGTTCCTTAAAAAATTAAAAATAGAATTACCATATGATCCAGCAATCCCACTACTGGGCATATACCCAGAGAAAAACATAATTCAAAAAGACATATGCGTCCCAATGTTCATTGCTGCACTATTTACAATAGGCAGGTCGTGGAAGCAACCTAAATGCCCATCGACGGACAAATGGATAAAGAAGATGTAGTACATATATACAATGGAATATTACTCAGCCATAAAAAGGAATGAAATTGAGTCATTTGTTGAGACGCGGATGGATCTAGAGACTGTCGTACAGAGTGAAGTCAGAAAGCGAAAAACAAATATCATATATTAATACATATATGTGGAACGTAGAAAAATGGTACAGATGAAATGGTTTGCAGGGCAGAAATTGAGACACAGATGTAGAGAACAAACGTATGGACACCAAGGGGGGAAAGCAGAGGTGGGTGGGGGTGGGGGTGTGCTGAATTGGGCGATTGGGATTGGCATGTATACACTGATGTGTATAAAATTGATGACTAATAAGAACCTGCTGTATAAAAATAAAATAAAATAAAATTTAAAAATTAAAAAAATATATATTCTGTAAAGGAACCCATAGACTTCACAAGACTGTCCAAAAGTTCATGGCACTAATAAGATTAAGAACCCATACATAAGGCCATACAATTAGAAATATTTTAATATGTGATGATATACAAATTGGTTTTGTTTATTTCATTTTGACTGAACTAAGACATAAATTCTACTAATCTATATTGCTCAAACTGGGCATTACACAGTTCTCAAGTAATTTCTCATAATATATACTCCATGAAAGGACTTCTTTTGGTTAAATTAGTAAATCAGCCTTTCACACTTGCATCATCAGAAGAACCTCAGTTGTTCTCTGCCACTTCACCTGTTCTTAGATACTTCACCTTACACAGAGCAGATCTGCATTGGGCTTTTAGGGACACCAGGGGAGATATAATTCCCATCTTCCTTCCTCTCCTACCAGACTCATGTGAGTTACTGATGCCTATTAATTCCTTTAGGAACTTAGGGTTCAGGATAGTCCCTTCAAATTTTTTCCATATCATAATTAGGGATAAGAATTAATAGTCATGTACTGTCTAGTGGGAGGACAGTTATTAACATTCAACAGAGGTATAAATGTCTAACAACAGGCCTTTTCCCAAAAGGAAGATTCTAACAGGAGAACTGCACAATTCAAAAGAAGTATCAAGCAGGGAGGAAGAAGAACACAGAAAGAAAAGAGGACCCCAAAGTCTCTCACACTTTTGCCCAGAGTCAGCCCTAAACTTTGATGATTCATTTAATTCTAATTATTCATCCTTCAAAACCAAGTTGAACCATGCCTGCCACTATGACACTGCCATCCCAAAAAGTCATTCTTCCTCTATGTTGCCACATTTAGCTCTTATCTCCATCACAACATTGATATCTTTATGTGACTCTCCCTTTGAAGATTAATGGTTATTTTTCAAGAATTTAGAATGGTTCCTGACAAATAAATCACTGAAGAATTAATCAGGAAATTAATTTTAATTTATTAAATTCTTAATAAAGAATTATTCTCTGATAAAATTGTTTTTCAGCAAGCGTTGATTTAGTGCTGTCATACCAGCAGTACTATGAGACATCTGGATGACCTAAACTTGTCATTTTAAGCCATCACTGTAGCTCAGAGATGAAGCTAAAGAAAAGATTAAAAGGTTAGGCGCAAATTTGTAACTTGAAGAAGCCTCAGAGTTCTCAAAACACAAAAGATGGAGATACCAATTTGCCCAGTGACTTGACTTAACCATGGCCACACACTCTGTCTAGAAGGCATAGCAAGGTCACTCTGAGCCTGATTCAGTTTCACAAGAGCAGCACACAGCAACTCCCCACATCACTTCTAACCCGCACCAACCACTACACAGAAGCAGGAGAGAAGCTCAAATCTTAACCGGTCCCTGACGAACATGACCAAACACTCCAAACACCCAAGCCTGCACTCGACCACTAACTGGTGGAATCCTGAGTGTTCATATATGGAAAGGATCTGGCAATCACCTGTTCTGACTTACCCACAAAGTAGGAATCGTCTCTACAATGTCTGGGGCAGATGGTCACCTACCTCTGCTTGAAAACATCTCTGGACAGAAGCCCCTTACCCTGTGAGGTGCCTACAAACCTCTGTTGGGCAACTGTTGAG